CAATTTTAGCTTTTTTGTTTTATTTAAAAGGCAGAAATGAAAATAGTTATACAAAATAGACATGATTAGATATGAAAGATATATATATATAACAAAACTAAATCTGAATTTTAATCATCAATTATATCTATATCAATATTATCATCATATTCAAGTTCATTTAATTTAATTGTTGTTGCGTTAATTATAGAAAAATTAAAAGATGTTTCATCTGTTTGATTATTATTATTATCATTAAGAAGTGCAATTGAACTATTTTTTTCAGTTACCATTGAATTAATATCGTTCCTAAAAAAGAAAAAAAAATTAACATATATATATATATTTTTTTTTTTTTTATCTTAAAATACTGTCAACAGTATAAACTAAAATTAGTAAGTTTTTAATTATCCCACTAACTAAATATAATCAGTAATAATTGATAAACAAAATATAACGTTATTTAATTGTACTACATATCTTACATATATACTTTACGACCTTAAATTATTTTACTAAAGTGTACAATGACAAAATAAAATATTTTTCTTATAAGTTGAATCCTTTTGTAAAGGTAAATATTGGATACGGTAAAATTTTTCCATGTAACTAGGTTCAGGAATATGATAAAACGTTGATCGTTTTGCTTTTCAAAAGATGCATCATTGAATTTTCTACTTGAGCAACAAAACCACATCTTTATAGTTATTTTCACTAATACTAAACACATGTGTCATTGTGTTATTTCTAGTACTCGTCGAGGTAATTCCGAACCCCACGGACTCTAATTGTGTGAGAAATGTGTAAGGTGTCCTAGTCACTGAATACAAAAATCTATCTCGTATCTTTGGGACAACTTCTAATTCAGGTTAGAAAATTTTATTGAGAATATGAAATTTTCGGTTCGACTGAATATGGGTACGAAAATTTTCAACTTGACGAGTTCTAGTTATTTCCTATAAGGAACAATCAGAAAAGTCGATTTTGTGATTGACAACTAAGGTCATTTTTAATTAAATCAATGTTAGATAAAATGAACAGTTCTAGGTATTGTAAAAACAAAAAGGAAGAAGAACAAAACGTTCATCACTCCATTAATCCTTTTTACGAGGTTAGCAGTGATATTCTCTTTAATGTATTTTCATCATCTTCAGTTGAAGACAAGTTCTCATTATATTACTTAAGCTTAATTCTTTTTTAATAGTTCTTTCAACAATCGAGCAAGTTTAATCTAGCGATTTGTGCATTGAAGTTATCCATACCAGATCCTCTGATTGATTCCAAAAATTATTGCTAAAATAAATGAACAAAGTTCTGTTTTTTTTTTTTATTTTTCCTTGTAAGGAATAATACGATGACACTCGTGTTCTGTATTAACAAAAATAGCTATAAAGATTTGGTCTTGTCATTCAAGTAGTTTAGCCACATCTGATATAGCTTATTTATGGAATATTTAAGAAGATTAAGAATTTGAATAAGAGAATAATTGTAGATTGTATGAAATGACTGTAATATTGAAAAATCAACAAGTTTGAATTTATGATTTATATGAATAGTTAGTAAAAGACTTTTTAATCTACAAAAGTTTTTCTTTTTGTTTTCTAGAAACTCAAGGTCGGATATGTTTTCTATGATATTCTCTGTTCGATGTCAATAATAAATATGAAATAATAATTATCTGTTCTTTTGATTTATTGATACAGAAAAAAAGTTGAGAAATTCTGTTGAAAGAAACAAAATAACAAATCTTAGGAGTTTATAGATCGTGAGATTTGATATTTATTTTAAACTTCAAAAATAATTTCTTCTCAGGAAATTTTTTCATTTTTCAGTTTATTATTTGTTTAGTCTAACGAAATAAAAATAATAAGTATATATTTTATGTTCTTTGAATAAAAAAAATAGAATATAAATAAACTCGATATTTAAAACTACATAGAACTAAAGTAAAATTTATGTTGCTTATGAATATTTTGATATTAAGTATACTGACAAAAATAAAACTCATTTACTATTTATAAATAGTTTATTATTGAATATCGTAAATGTATATGATGTCAGAGCAATCATATTGAGTAGAAACTAATTCTGTTCTATTTCTTTTGAGAAGTAAGACAAGAAGTTCTTTTATCCCAAGAGTGCTAACTCGATGAAAACATACCATTTTTTTGTATGTCGGTCAATAAAGCCAATATCAAGAATTGAACGATTTGTTGCATCTAAAATAAAAATTTTTTTTTTCATATATTTTCCTTATATTAGAAAGTTATGGTCTAGAAATAGGAATTCACCTATTTATTTTTCGTAGATGTTAAGAATGTAGTCTAGAAACGAGAATTCATTATTGTCTATCTGTAACACTGTTAAAATGACTATCTAATGACGTTAGTTTAAAGACTATGTAATAACTCTAATTCAAATGGCTGTGTAGGATGATTTAAAAAAATTATTTCGTTCATAGGATAGAAACGAATCAAGTACTATGACTTTAAAATATTATCAAATTATTTAATATTGTTGGATTGATTGTTCAATGTTATATAAATGAGTATGTGATCTAATCTATTGATTGCAAGAAAATAGGATCTAGGCACAAGAATTTATCCATATCTATCTATCTATGTTTAACATGATGGTAAATGATTATGCCTTGCGGCATGATCGATATATCAATGTTGTATAAATCAGAGATTCACGAGGCAATTTCGCACTCTTTGACATTCCATAGTTTAGGACTCACTGGAAGAACATTGGCGAAACGCGTTCCAAAAGCAAAACACGAAGAACGCGTGAGCAATGGCGTCGGACATATACTTGTCATATGATCAATTTTGTTTACTACTTTCTTTAATATACCTCTTTAACTGTAGGAGACTATATTCGTATATCAATTCTATTAGATTATGGTTGAGTAAATCTGTAGATGATGAACATTATTCTCTTACTTGTCGTTGAAGATCTTGAAGTTTTTAATAGAAACGCTTGATAAGGTAAAACAGTAGAAAAATATTCTTGTTCTGAACAACCATAATCTATAAAACATAATATATATTTTTAATTCTAATTAACAAAAATGAAGAAAAAAAATTGACATAGTTTATTTGTTGACAATAATGTTCGATTTTTTTTTATCTATAAAAATAAATATTATTTTCTTAATTAAATAAATAAAAATCATATACTCTTGTTTTAACATCATTATCTTGTGGTTTACGTAAAGGTTTAAAACCTCGATTAATTGGAACGGAATTACATAAACGTACTGCTCGACAAGCTATACTTGATGATATTGTTGAAAGTTGTAAACGTGACTAAAATCTAAAATTTTATTGATATGAATTTTTTATTTTTAGTTTTTTTACCTCCCATTCATTAAGAATATGTTCAGTTAAACTAAGATAATCACATAATTGAGCTGCATCATCAATTGTCGAATAAAAATCAATATAATTTTCAAATAAAAAACCAATAAATGTCGGTGCTGATATATGACATTGTTCAATAAGATTCTAAAATAATCAATTATCAATAAAAAACAAAAAATAAAAGATTCACATTCGTCTACTTCAGGTTGAGTTTTTGTATTTTCATCTATTGAATTTTCTTCTGAATCTATAATCAATATTTTGATTAATTTCAAACAAAAAAAGAAATCAAAAACCTTTTTTATATAAAATTCGACCAAGTCCTTGAAATAATGATAAACATGTATCTTTTGAATTAAATTTTCCTATTGAAAATTTAACTTTACTATTACCTAAAACAAAAATGAAAAATTCATATAATAACTTTTTTTTTATTAACTCCTTCCGAACAGATTACATATATGTACGTGATAGTTTTGAAACAACTCACAACACTAACTTATGATACTGTTTGAAAACGCCGGTCATGAGCAAGCATCCTGAAAGCATTTACTTTTTTTTCGTAGCAGAAAAAATTCAATTTGTATAGGAACAGCTGTGTAGTCACGAATTGATAAATGGGAGTTCACCGTGGTGAAAAACAATGACAAAGAGTCATGTAGAAAAGTCACTTTTGTGATCTTTAATATATATTGAATTTCTATATTCGCATCACATAACTGTTGGTTTCGTAATATCTCCTAATCAATTTTTCTACATCTGTAGTCCTTGGTAGTCTATACAAAATATTCTATTTTCTTCACAAGTAACTCCTGTTCTGAAAGGATTAAATTCTATTTAAGATCTATTTACTAGAAAATTGTAATGTATTAATTGCTAAACGAAGATCACCATTTGCTGTTTGAATAATATCATTAATACAATCACGTGATGGTGGGTTTAATTTCTATTAAAATCCAAAAAAAAAAAACAAAAACAAAACGAGATTGATAATTAATTTTATATACAAATTTACTAATAAAGATGCTTGCTGAATAATTAATTGAAGAGCTTTTTTCATATAAGTTGGTGCAATTGGATTAAAACTATATGAAAATAAAAAAGAAATTCTCGTTTTTTTTTTTCTCTTCTTTTAATCTAAATCTAACCTGATCTGTTCAATTTTAAATTCATCAACAACTGATAATGAAAATAATACATTAGGATTATTAAATGTTGATAATGAACTATTATCAGTTATTATAAATACAATTGGATGATATGCTATACGTTTTAATTCTCTATATAAAACAAAAAAAAAAAAAAGAAAAAAAGAAATTGTTTATTTAGTTTGTTATTTTTTTTTTGTTTCTAATTTTATCATGCAATTCACCTTAAAATAGAATGAAATGATGTTACATCTGAATAGAAACCATTTGGTAAATCCTAAAATAAACATTATATAAGCAGAAAAAAATACTAAATTCTTAAGTTATATTTATTCTTTTGTCTTATCTTTAAACAACAACACATAACTACTTGGCAAACTATATCTTCGTTTTTTTTTTTTGTGTATCTAGAAGTTTTTTGTTTTTTTATCTTATCAGTTTTCTATTTTACAGCTAAACAAGTTACAGTTTCATATCATTTTTATTTTTTCTTTTAAGCAAACTAACAATGCATCGATTAAAGGGAGTTGTTTTTCTTTTGCTATTATTTATCGCTAAATATCAAGCACAAGATCCAACACCACCTACTGATTGGAATGGTGACCCAAATTTATGTACAATTAATCCACCACCTACACCTTCATCATTACCTGCACCACCAATGCCTAGATTTCCAAATAAAGCTGAATTTGGTCTAGAACGTGTCGAAATTAAGCATATTATAAATATAACATTACCTAGTGAAATGACTATGCTTGAATATCTTTATGATTACGATGCTAATAAATTAATTATAGTTAAAAATAAAAATGGCTTTATTGATGCTGAATATTTTTACTATGGTCCTAATAAGAAATCAACTTATTATCAAGGACAATATTGTGTTGTAACGGATATTCCAACAGAAAATGATATGGGTATATTTATATTAAACTTTTAACGATTCTTTTTTTATAGTAGTTTTTTTTTTTATATTAGATGGTGCATCGGCAATAAGATTACCAAATGGTGCATGGCATATTCGTCCACTGAATGAATTTCTTTTATTTTCAAGTGATGATCAAAGTCGACGAGTTACACCAGTATATCTTGGTACAGATACAGTACGTGGAATTCCAGTTCATAAATGGCAAAGTTGTTATGTCAATAAAACAGATTATCGAACAGTACGACGTATATGGACATTTGCTCAAGATGGAGTTGCTATGCCAGGTGTAACTGATGCTAAATTTGCTATTCCTATTCAAGCAATGATTAGTGGTTCATATGTCTTTCCAAATGGCACACAAATAGCTGAAGTTGATGAAATATATAATGTTCTTGCATTTCGACCAGGTATTATGGAAACAGCTGATGCATTATCACCACCAAAAGGTGTTTTTTGTGCTAGTGGTCCAGGTCAAACTTTAATATCACTTAAAGATGCTGGTGTCATTTGGCCAAATCATTTTAGTGTTCGTGTTGAAACTTCAACATCACGTGCACCACGATGGGAACGATTTCATTTACGTTATGATCAAGGTCGTGAAAGTGGTTCAAGACGTTTACGTTATGATTTCATGCCACCTGGTGCAGAAGATTTTCAATCCGTTATTCATGATTATACAAATAATTTAACTTATATTATGGATCTTCGTGTTGGTTCATGTAAAATTAATAGTGGTGTAGACATTCCTGATGTTAGTCCTATTAGTGATCCAATACGATTTTTTGTTAAACATGAAGCTCAAATAATATTTAATCCACCTGAAAATGCTTGGGAATTTAATGGATTTCGACGTAAGAAAAAGAAAAACAGAACGGTTTTTTTTTCAAAATATTCTTTTCTTCGTCATTTTTAGTTTGTCGTGGCAATACTATTCGATGTACAATATTAACAACATCAATAGATCGATTTCCTGCTATGGTTGAGCCAGATACTGGTATGACAACAGGTGAAACATGGGCAGCAACCAATGTTGAATATGGCTGGTCAATGCGTTCACCAATGGCTTTGGCACCACCTGATCGACCAAAACAATTTGATTATCCAGTAAGTTTATATTTAAGAATGTATCGATTTCGAGATCCATCCAATCCATCACCATTAAGTATTATTACTGAAGATGTTGAATATGAATTTTATGAAATGTCTCATGATAGAGATCAATTTGATTTTGATATAAGTTTATGTTATCGTGCACTTAATTATGAATATTTACATCTTGTTTTTACATGTACAATTAAAGAAGGTCTTATTGATGGTAATAAAATAAGTAGACGTCAATTAAACATACGAACACATATGAATTTAGCACGTATAATGCAAATTAAATTTTCACGTATATCTGATGTAGAAATTGATCATGAAACTGCCGATAATAGTGTACAAGTTTTTTTTACTGTTCTTGGTCGAACACTAAAACCAGGCACACAATCAGGTTTTGATGATAGTGAACCAACAGCTGCAACAGCAACTGATACGTTAAGACAAGCTATTGATAATGGAAATTTTCAATTTGATTTAATATTAGAAGATAATTCTACTGCACCAGTACGAGCAGAATCTGGTTCATTAAAATCTTCAACACAATATATGTCAACTCATAAAGTTGGAAAAGTAGCTTATACTGAAAAATATACAAGTGGTTCACAAGCAACAGCTATTATTGTTGGTTTACTTATTGGTGTTGTTCTAGGTGTTATTATAATAGCAATTGTTCGAGTTGTACGAAAAGAACCAATGCCTACTTTACCAGTATCAATATCAAATATTGGTTTTAAAACAAAAACTGAAAGCAGTGCTTGATCAAATGCTTAATAAGAATATTTATTTTAAGAACAAATATATTTTTTTCTATTTCTAATTTCTTCCTTTCTTGTCTATTCTTTTTTTTTATAAGCTATAATTATCAATATGTAGTTTGAATTTATTTTTTTTTTGCTTTTTGTTTTATTCAATTAATAAATGTATTAACTTACTTCAATTAATACTAATTGTTTAGTTGATGATGATGCTTGTGATTTAATTGACTGTTCATTATCATTTTCAAATATTAAACCATTACTAGAATTACTTGTTGATGATGATAAATAACGAGTTGATTGAAATACAAAAGTGCGAAATGAACGTTTTTGAGATTCAATCCATTGACGATCATCTGAATTTCAATTGCAAAAAAAAAGACGTTTAGAGATACAAAAAAAAACAAAGATTTCTAATTGTAATATATGAACTGAAAAGAAGACTTAATTATATTTATTCAAGGCATTCTAATAAAAAAAATATTGTGAGTTATTTAATCATGTAAATAACTGAAAAGTTTATTAATTATTATATTATTTTTGAGAGAATAAATTTGTTGAAATTGAAAAGAATTCATTTATATCTTACAAAAAGAAAACAGGAAGGCACTCGAGCAAAGTTACGAATAGATCTATGATAATTCACAATTCTATGAACCGACTCTTTTTCGAGAACTGTACCAAATGACTAGTTCTTTTCATATGAACTATGTCTACTGACAATGGTAATGCAGTAATTCTATTGAGTAACTGTTCTAGTCGTCAAAGAAACTGAACAGTTCAACTCTTTTGAAAAGAACTGGTTCGGTCCGACCAGTTTGTTGGATCATTATTAATTGGTTAATGAGAATGAATTCATAAAACATTCATTATAAAGAGTCATTTACACCTCAACTGATTGTTAAATTTCAAAGCTTGAATTTTCTCACTCAGAAGAAAATCTCATCAGCTGTCCCCTTCCGATTTCAATGATTTTTTTTTGCTTATAGATACTACATAGTGTTCTAATAGAAATCCTAAAAAAATTTAGGCTCCTATTCGTATTTGATTAAGCTAAAAAATTTTTAATATGTCTATTCTCTAGCAGCACCAAGTTTTCAGAAGCCTCGTATATTCGAATTTTGATCTGAAACTTTGCACATATAGAGAACTCAACTAGAGACTAGGTTTCATAAAAACAATTCATAAGTTTTGAACAAAGTCTCTTCAAGATATGAAGCTTTCAAAAAATGCATGTTGTATAGACTTTCTATGGACGCAGATCTATATCTTAAAAGTTTCATATCTCAAAGAAACTTTGTTTAAAACTTTTGAATTTTTTATGGACGTTCGTCTAATTGAGTTCTCTCGAAACCTAGTGTCTCTAGAAAATGGACATGATAAAAATTCGATAGCTTACTCAAATATCAATAGGAACTTAAATCCTTTTAGAATTCTATGTAGTATTTATAGACAAAAAAAAATCGTTGAAATCGGAAGTGGCCAGTTCCCTCGTCAGTTTTTTCAGACAAACTTGACTTTTCTTTTCGAACGACGATCCAAATCTAAATATGATCTTTACCAAAACATTTCTGATATAAGTTTAGCTCAAGTAATAAAACAATGTAGACGAACAGAAGAAAATAAAACTAATAGCTCTTGAAACAACATTGTTTGATTATTTTGATACAATTAAGCAAACTTGTTCCCAACAAATTTTATCTAAGAAAAATGGTATAATGTATAAAATATTTTCCGAATGGTGAAGACCGGTTCGGTAGAAGTGTAGAATCTGCCACCAAAATGAAAAAAATTTTCCTCGAGAGAAAAAAACAATAATGGATGCTCCACAATAAATAGGCCAATTGTATTTTCTATCTTTGAAGTATTTAAAAATTAATTTAAATTTTAGTTTTTATACTAGTAAATAGAAAATTTAATTCTCTACAAAACTGTCTACATTATTTTTTTCAAATCGACTTTTCACTTCAGAGCAAAGTTAGCGAGATCAACAATCTAATCCCTCATACAAATGTTAAAATGAAAAAAAAAGCAAGAAAATTATAGAGAATTTTTAGAAACGGATCTGCTGAAACTTAAGAAAAACTTTCGAAATAGAAAACGTTGAAATATCGAACAAAAAGCTGGTTCCGAACAAATCTGAACTACGATTTTCGATTGATTCAAAGTAGCCTACATGTTTCAACTGTTAAAATGAACACATTTTCCATTTTGTTCAGAATTTAATTATGTATCTGATGACACAAGAATCAGCATTTTGTAAGGCAGATCTGATTTGAAATTTGTGTACAATGAATTAAACTTTATAATTATGATGTGATATTATAGAAGAACTAACCTCGTTGTTCATCTAATACAGTACTTGTTAAAGCTGTTGTTGTTCGAGTTTCCCATTCAACAATATTAATATTCAATGAAGCAGCTAGTATTCGTAGACATGTTGATTTTCCAGAACCAGATGGACCAGAAATAAGTATTAATTTAGATGGTCGCTGGATAATAAAAAGAAAAACAAATCTTTTTCTTTTATTCAATAGAAAATAATAATCAATGATCATTTACTTTATTTGTTTTAACAATTTCACATGATCTTTGAAGTATATCTTCAAGTTCTTTAATTTTTCTTGGATGAAGAATAAGATCATGACGTTTTTTAGGTTGAAATAACATTGTCCAAAGTTCATCATTTTGTTGATTAAATTTTTTTGACATTATTGAACGTGCTATTGTTGATGATGTTGATGAAGATTGTTGTGATGATAATTTTGATATAAAAGTTTTTGGAATTTTTATTTCTGTATTTGTTATTAATGTTGGTGATGGTGGAACATCATTAAATTGTTCAAATATATTACGATAAGATGAAGAATCAATAGAAATTTCAGATGTTTTAAAACGTTTTATTGGCTGTTCAGATCGGATATTAAGATCCGAAAATGAAGGTATACGACGAGACATTTGCCTAGTCGATATTATACAAAAGAATAAAGAAGAAAATCTAAAGATAATCAAATTGAAAAAAAAAAACACATATTCATTGTTTGCTGAAATAAATCTTCACAATATAGTTGTGCAATTCTTTTTATAATCTATTCAAAAATTTTATCTATTTCAAAGAAATATAATACAAAATTTTTCGAAGTTATAAAATTAAATATAAAAAAAGATTTAAAATTAAAGAAAATTATTTTCATTTTTCTTATATTTTGGAAAAAACGTCTTCACTATTTCTTAGCGCTATATTCCATTTATTTATGTACATTGTATGTAGCACCATCATTTAGATCTAAAAATATTCGTTGGTTAAATTTAAATCACAACTATGTATCGATCAAAAAAAGTAAGAGAAGTTAGTTTTTTTTTTTTTCTTTTGTTTACATTAGAATTTAAAATCATATCGCATTGATTGCATGTATATTCTTAAACCAAAGATTGATAATGATGAGTAGTGATGAAAAAATCTCTAAGGAATAATAAAGTGCATTTGTAGACATACACAAGAGAGAAGAAGAAGAAGAAGAAAAAAACTTGATCAAATTTATTCTTCTCTTTCGATGATCTGCATATTGAGAGAAAAAAAAAAAAAAGAGAACTCGCCGTTGTTGGAGCATCTTCGAAGAAGAGCACTTGATTAGTTAGTTAGTTTCTAATATTGATGTTGTTGTTTTCTATGTTCTAATCAAATAATGTTTTTTTTTCTTATAACTGATTATTACTATTCTCGGGAAAGACGCCTAGATTTTTCAATCAACCTTCAGCCAATCTCGCATCATTGCTTTCGTCTTTTTATGCAAATTTACTTGAGATCAGCAGAGAAAAAAAAAGTCGATTTATAATATATATATATATATATATATATATATATATACATATATATTTATATTATATTTAGTTTTCTTTTTCTCTCTCTGTGTTTCTATTACTCGTATGCTAATTTGAACTCTTGAGCTTGACGAATATACAATGAAAGATACTGACTTCTTAATAATCGTAAATTGTTGTTATGTATAGAGAGAAAAAAAAGAGCGAAAGAGAAAAGATTGTTTGCTCCGATTTCCCTTTTTTTTTTATAGTTAGGGAAAGAGAGAAAAGAACAGTCGATGATTATTAGCCGTTTTCATCTACTATTTCCTGAGCGGAATAAAAAGAAAAAAAAACATTGATCTGTGTAACAAATAACAGATCATGATCAGAGATATGCATATAAAAACTAATCATGGATTAGAAAAATCATTGAATAATTATCGTTTAAAATATAATCATCATTTAAATTATTGGAAAGATATTCGAAAGACAAATTATTGGATTACATTTGAAAATCCTTTATTTGAAAATTATGGTAAAGTCTAATTGTCTTATTAAATAAAAACAAAAAAAATTCATTTAGCTTTGTTTCTTTTGTTTTTTTTTTTTTTGATTTTATTAATCAATTATATTTTCTTTTCATTTGTTTTTTTAGTTAGTATGACAAATGGATATCATTTTAATTCGTAAGAAATAATTATTCTTTTTTTTTTCTTCTTCGTTAAATATTAATTTTTTTTCTTATTTATAGAAATCCTGTTCTTTCGGAAAATATTTCATCACCAACTGAATCAACAGATAGCGGAATACAAATATCTATAGAACGAACAATAACAGTTCGTATTTATTTCTTTTATTTTATATAAATCAAAGTTTTATTTTAGATGGATGATGATATAAACCTTCCATTAGGTTGGGAACGTTTTGAAGGTAAGAATTTATAATTCTATCAAGTTTTAATATAATAAAAAAAAAAAAAACTTTTTTTTTGTTTTTAGATGAACAAGGTGTTTATTATTGGCATAAATTTACTGGTACTGTAACACGTGATCGACCACAATCAATGATAAATTCTCCATCATTAACACTTTCATCATCATCGAATGATACATGTTTTGAAATTAATTCCTTCTTAAATAAAAGTGAATCAGATAATTCTATTCGAGTAAATTTATTTTGCTTACAAAATACATCTTCAACATTTCTTTCTCCTCAATGAATATTTTTTTTTTTTTTTTTGTTAGACATTAAATGATAATTCTGAACAACATCGTTTTTATGTACGTTCACTTGGTTGGACAATAATCAATGAAGAAGATTTAACAAAGGAAAAAATTAGTCATTCTGTAAATCGTTGTATTTATGAATTAACACGTGGAATTAATGATTCAATTAGTCGTTGGGGTGATGGTAAAGATCTTTATATGGATATTAATAATACAAATATACTTTTAATTGATCCTATTGAAATGACTATATTACATAAACAATCAATAACATCACTTCGAGTTTGGGGAGTTGGAAGAGAAAATTCAAGGTTTGAAAAAAATAAAAATTTCTTTCTTTTTTTAAATTTTGATTTTTTAGAGATTTTGCTTATGTTGCAAAAGATAAAAATCTTACAACAAATATTTATAAATGTCATGTATTTCGTTGTGATAATACATCGGCAAGAATAATTGCAAATACATTACGTGATGTATGTAAAAATCTAATGATTGAACGTGGCTTATTAAATCATACAACAGAAATTTCAAATGATGGAATATTAAACCAAAAACGGTAAATTTCAAAAAACAAAAGAAATTTTATTATGTAAAATTTTTTGAAATTATCTTATATAGACCAACATCATTTCCTGATTCAATTGAGAATGATATTACAAATAGTAAAGATTTGAACATTGAGTTTTTTTTTTTTTTTTTTTTTATTAAAATTAAATTTTTTTTGTTTCAATTTTAGCACAATTTCCAACACCAATGGAAGAACAAAAGAATAATTTACCATGTAAATATTTAGGTTGTACATATGTTGAACAGCCTGGTGGAATGAATATTTTACGACCAGCAATCGAAAAAATAGCAACGACAGTACCAGATGATCAATGGATTTCAGTTGTAGTTAAAATTTCACCAACATCAATTATTGTTTGTTCAGATGGTGATGTATGTCGAATTTTTCAAAGAAAAAAACTTTTTTCATTATTCTGTTTTTTCTTATAGGATTCAAAAGAACAGTTACTCGATTGTCGTATTCGTTATCTTTCATTTCTTGGTGTTGGACACGATATTCGGTAAACTAATTTTAATCTTTATTTAATAAATATAATTTTTTTTTCATTTATAGTTTTTGTGGAATAATTATTCATTGTGCAGATAATTCATTTAAATGTCATGTATTTTATTGTCAACCATCATGCATTCAACTATGTAAAAATATAGAAGCTGCTTGTAAAGTAAATCAAAAAAACATTTTTCTTTTTTTTTGGATTATATTTTCTTTTCTATTTATGTTATTTTAAATAGTTACGTTATCAAAAATGTCTTGATGCTCATCCACAACCAGTTCAATCAGTTGAACAAACAAAAGTTTGTTATTTTTTTTTTTTTTGAGAATAAGTTTTTTCTTTAATTTATTTTGCTTGATTTTAGAATTATACTTCACAAATAAAACGTTTGGTTGAATCATTCTGGTTTGGGAATAAACAATCTATTTGATTTTAATGTCAATATAAATAGTTTTCTTTCTCAATAATAACAGATCTTTGTTTTATTGCTGTATGATGTATTTCTGATTGATTATTTTGCAATCGAAAATCAGTAATAAAACAAATGTTGTATTGTCAATTTCAATAAAAAACAAAAAAAACAACGAAATCATCGATTAATTGAATTTACAATTTAATTTTAGTTTAGTAATTACGTTCTCTTTCATGAAGTTCGAATTCACAAATATTTAATTGATTACCACAAGAGATTAGTTAAGTTATGTTATTTAAATTATTTTATAATTCTCATAGATTTTGAATATTTTCCTAATATTCGATATATTCGATGAAGAGTATATCAAAATATGAAATAGAATAGACACAAATTTTTATTTATAATTAAAAAAAAAGAGTTCTTGAGATTTTTTCTAATTCCATAGAGAAAATACCTAATTCTATTCTATGGAAGTACAGACATATGAAAAACTATATTTATCTATATAGTATTCACAATGGTATTAACGTATTCATTATTCTAAAGCAATAAAAAACAGCTATCTAATCAACAATATAATTCTATGGAATAATCGATCGTTTTTGAATTTGCATTTAATTGATCAGACGAATATATTTACCTAATGAATTTAAATCAGTACTACTGAAAGGTTTAAATAATTATCATATTTTGAAGATTACTTATTTTAGTATATAGATTAAATATTAGGTTTGTTGTTTTTTTATATTCGAATCTTTAAGATTAGCTAAACTTTGTGTTGATGATGAATTATCAATATTTGCATATTTGTAATTCAAAGGCCATATCTATTGAAAGAATAAATTGATACATAATATTCAACTAACAATTTCACGATGATTTATATATGTTAGCGTCTAACCTGAGATCATGTTCATTCAATCTCGGAGTGAAGGAGAAATTTATGTTAAAAGTTGAATCAGTCTATAGATCGATGTCGAGCTCGGATTCTTATTAATAAACTGAGAGAGATCAATAGTATTTTTATGAGTACAATCTTTCAGTTGATCAATTAAGTTTGAACTTACTAAGTTATGGACGTTTTTGTATACAAAATCGTCCATAACTTCTAGAATTCAAACTTAATTGATCAACTAATAGTTTTATTAATTGAAATGCTATTGAACCCTCTCGATCCATTGATAAGAATTCGAGTCTGAAATTGGACGTAAACTCTTGAGTGATACATATATGAGAAGTATGTAGATGTGTGATCTATTTCGAATCTTTCAAACCAAAGATATAAACGAAACAATAGAACAAAAAAATATCAAATATGATGAAACATCAAGTAATACAAACAAAAATATGTTTTCTCTTCTTATCTGAATCGAATTAAAAGGCAAAAAAAAATCAGATGAGAATACTAAACATACTGATCAAATTTATTTTTATTAATAAAACAATGTTGACTATGTATTTGATTACTCATAAGATTGGCTAGTTGGTAGAAGAATATATCTCCACTATATTTTAAAAAATTTTTACATCGATATTTTACAACTATGATCGAGATCTATTTCAAACATATATGTTATTGAATTATTTTTCCATCTATTAACTAAAACAACAGTTTTATACAGTACAAAACTTATAATTATAATCAACGTATTAGTAGTTATTTAAAAAAAAATTAGTTCAGTACTTTTATTGTTCAAACAGACAGTCGAATAGTATCTCGATCAATAATTAAAAAAATATCCAGTTATTTTCTGTGATTTAAAGACTTGAATTTGAAATGTTTTAATAATGAATATAAATTATTAATCTCTTGACATTTGTAGAATTCATTAGTAGTTTTTGACTAAAAGTTCTTATGTCTTTTTTTATGATAATGATTAAGTTTGTTGACATAGAAGTTTAAAAAATGATTGACGATATTATTGTTTATTTATAAAGAAAAACTTGATTAATTATTACATTTGAATAATAAAACAACATGATATTTGATATTATACATAAATAACATAAATCAATTGACTGAATCCTAGCTAAACTTTTGTTAGCAGAAATTCAAACAGCTTATTGAGTCTATTTATGATATATTTTCTAAATTTTCATTACAAAATTTCGTTTTTCTTAAGCAGGCAATGTAGATATCACGATATTCATTGGAATATCTTCACTGCTCAAAGATGTGAAATTAACTTTTTTTTAATGATTTTGACTGTATAGAATCATACCTAATAATAGATTGTGAGTATATTATTTATTATCTCTTTATTTATTTAGTTTATTTATTCGTCTCACAGATACATACCACACCGTGTTAAATCAATAAATGTGTTATATAGTCAAGTCATTTCGGTTTACACGACTTCTTTTCCTTCTTACAAAGATAACCTATTTTCATCCATCGATGAGCATCATATTAGTATATGTAAAACGATACACAAACTAAACAGACTCATAGTCTTTCATCGGCAAGCTAGGCATGCGAAAAGTAGATCTGCCTGGATCTCTATTCATTAGAATACTACCGTTCAATATTAAAATGTTTTCAATATAATTTTTAAGCAGTTGAATTTGTCTACTTGATTGTAAACACATATGCTAATCAACAACGATCTTAATTAAATTCAAAACACATAATAATGCTTCTTTATATCCATAAGATTCTATAGCAAAGTAGAGGTTGGGGATGCTGAAGAATAGAAGATCCTCACCCGCATCCGCACACCCATACGCTTTCTAAAGAACGCTGTCAATTGATCATTTAATTATCTATTTGATTCATTATTTATGATCAACTGTCCTCACAGCTGTAATGGATAAAATTAGCTTATCGAATAGACTAAAGACTAACTTTTTATCTTGTTCCCCTTATAAAATTCAACTTTATGTTACTGATTTTCGTCATTTTGATTGTCAAAAGTCTTTAAATAATAAAATTAAACCTTTTGATGCATTCTGTACTATATATCAAGTGACTGAACTAATTGTGATATATCCATATTTCATGTCCTCAAAAACATTAGGCTATAGAATGTTTTCATAGAAAATACTTCGTTCATTTGCTCATATACTTAACCGATCTATATGTAAAATTAAGTTGCTTCAGTTCTCTATCGAGTGATGTACGAACATATGACAAAAGATTATCCTTTACCTTTCCGTTTACATAAAGATATGATTCATGTCTCATACCATTAATGGACTACCATAACGAATATCACTTAATACTCTTCTCTAATGGTAGCAGTCAATTTTGGATTTCATATCAATCGATAGATTTGGATGAGACCTACTAAACGATGCAAAGAAATCTACGACAAGTAAGTGAGAAGATATGTCTCTTTTTTGAACTATTCAAAACAGCTCTATGTTGGGTAGGCTGTGTATATATTTAATTCTTTGGGGGCGAAGGTCGTAAATTTACGGTTTTAAAATTCAGTTAGAGAAAAATGTACTTAATTATACTAAAACAGAATTTTTTTACACGCTTTGTATGTAAACATATGGGTCAGGAGTAACGACTTTATGCACTAACGCTCAATATTATAGACAATGAGATATAATTCACTGTACTTAGGCATTCATGCTAGGCCATCTAACATTAACACACCATTACTGATTCATTTTGAATTATTCACTTTATCTATCATTCTAGAATATTCTATAGAAGTACTACAAATAGGCACATATATGGTACAGATAATATAAAATGGTCGGAAAAAAATCAAGTTATAAAGAAACGATAATAGTTTGTATTATATATGCTCATACTAATAGAAGACCAAAGCGGGAAACAGATTCACATAATATGTGCAAAGATTTTAATGTAAACCTTTGCATGACTGATTGATTTGAAGAGTTCTACAGTTTCTTTCTTTCTCATATATTTTCTTCCTGTATGTTACATAAGTAGTTGTATTAGAAGTTTTATGTATTTGTTTTGTTTTTGTTATTCGATAATAAACTAGGTATATCCTTAAATCTACATTCAATAGAGCATTTATGATCTTTAATAATATCCAAAAATGTAATGAATTTTGATAATGAAATTTTATTTTATTTTATTTTGTAAAAAAAACTGTGCCACCAAAGGGTTAATTCTCTACATTACAAGCAGGTCATCATTGACTATCATCGACTTGTTGATAAAATTCTACTAGATTTTTATAATCATCTTCTTCATCAATTAATATTATTCGAAAAGGAAATAGATAGAAAAAAAACGAACTAGCATGGTGCATGTGTAGATCTTCTCTTCATCAACACCCACACCCACACCCACACCCTGTTATAGTAGAAGAAACACAGCTTTTATTGATCAAATATTCTGATGAATAGACCATTTATGAACTTTTATCACCTCGATAACAAAGTAAAAATGTATTATTTAACACTCGCCGAATTTTTTTTTTTACTTTGGAAACATCAACACGGTATTTTCAGCTCTATCCTAACTGTAATACATTCAACGAGTATCTATTTTAATGGGCAAGTATTTTACATCCACTTTGCAAACAATTACTCTGCAGAAAAAATTTTTATCGATAGTGGTACAAATATTAACAATTTTGTTTTAGCCAAATTTCAAAAGTATGACTGACATACAGTATTTAAAAAAATTATTTGAACACCCTGTAATACATGTCTTGTAAAGCATATTTCACAAACAAAAGAAAATATTTTTTTTTTTGTTGACTTTGATTATATCGTTCAATAGATCGATGTCTCTATTTTATTTTGCACAAACAAAAAAACTTTCGAGAAGGTTTTTATAAAGCTTTTGAGGTTTTTTTAACAAACTGTTTGATTTCCTACGCAAAAAAAAAACATTTGGACACTTGGGATTTTGGGATATGTTAATTAATTAATTCTCGTACATTAAATTTTATACTTCGCTGTAGAATTGTATATTTTTGTTCAAAAATTAAATATTATTAAAAAAAAAAAAACAATTTATTTAATTATAATATTTATAGAATAATCATCTCAATAATAATTAATGACATAATGTTCTGACAAAAACAGTTGTCTTCTTCACACGTGTAAGACTATATGACCTTTTCTATTTAAATTCTTTTTCCTACTAATAGAGTTTTTAACTTGATTGTTTTCTATGAATAATGCAATTAATTGTATTTTATATACAAGGTTTTGTTATAGAAAAACTTATTATGTAGCAGTATGATAGAATTATTTAATTTTAAACAATGATGATGCATAAATGTTTTCAAAATGATGCAATACATATTTCTAAATCAAGTGATCGTTTCGTTTTTCAATCTAATAATATCAAACCTTGAATGCAACTATAAACAGAAACTAGTGTATGACTCATGCAATCGATATTATAAACTATTCTGAACAATCAAACGCATAAAACAAAAATCATTTTGTTTAAGAAGTCAAGTGATAAAAGTGAAAAAAAAAATTTTTGATTCTGTTTGATTTCAGTCTGCTCTGGAAACACTTGTACCGATAAATTTGTTTAACTTTTTTTTTTTATCAACATTGATTCCTATTATTAAGTTTTATTTTCTGAGAAGTATATTTCTATTGTTTGCATATTCCAAAAACAAATGAATTCTAACGTGAACTGTGAAGCGTACTTCTTTTGTATATGAAACTTGAGGATGAGAATGTTATCTATAGTTTCATTCTAAAACAGTACATAAAAAGATCCATTCTTTTCAATGTGACCATTTAACTTAATACTTAATTGACTATTTTTTTCTACATATAGCACAGTTCCGTTTAATACAACACATTGTTGATCTGAGCAATCAAAGAAAAACTACAACTTTTTTCATTTTTTTTAGTTGAACAACACAGAAGAATAAATCAATACAAGTGAACAATGATAAATTTTTGTATAATGTCGCCATGGATAAGCAAAGAACATTGAGTATTTATTATTGATATTATTTCAGTTAGAAATTTTTATAAAATACTTTTTATTTTATCTATAAGAATTTATCTATTCAAATCAATAAATAAATAAAATTATAATATCACTGAATGTTTTTTCAGTTTTATTTTCTTTTTGTTTCCATCAACTGTCAATAATGACAATCAAATAAAAACTAGAACAAGCGGTTGACGATAACATTCTTTCGGTAAAACATAACAATAAATGATCTTATATACGATTGTTAACAATAGACAAATTCATCTAATATTAAACATCAGCGTTTTATATCGTTTTAAGATAAGCTGTCTTTCGTTATTGCACATGATCTGGCAGGTTTAACTTTATTCCATCTAAAATATCAACAATTTTACATATATGCTAATCAAAATTTAAAGAAAATAATTTACCATTTTGATTTAACTGTATCAGCTTTCTTCGGTGATGATGATGGATCAGCACGAATAACAGCATGTACAGGTTTATATAGAGCTTCAAACTGAAAAACATTTATAAAAAAATTTTTTTTCTTCCTATAAAAAATAAATAAATTATACCGACCTTGGCTCAATACTAGCTTTAACAAAACATGAAAATTGTTTGGCATAAAGATCTGAATTTTCTTCTTTAAGTGCTGTTATATAATTGACAACATGTAGACCAAATATATATTGACGATGAGCATCAGCATCGAATTTTTTTCCTTCTCGACTGTAACCTGGAAAATGTCGAGTACTAAAAAAAATAAGAAGATAATAGTTGTTTGTTTTTGATCAGATAATAAAGTGCATCAGAAATAAATTATCGTCAAATCGAAATCAGAAGAGATGACAGAAAAAAAATTGAATATTCATCATATGCACTTAAAATAAATATAAAAAAACAAAGAGTAAAATCAGCAAGGGGCAAAAAATGTCCATTTTAAGTGGAACTCTTTCTAATATCGTTACGATGAACTTATATCTAATCAAATTTTGCATCTTCTATATATGAATGAATATTCTTACAAAATTATATATTCTGATAGCACGCGGAATTATCTACAATTGCATTTTTATTTTAGTGAACAAGTGCAATTCAAAACTTACATATATATATATAGTTGTAGAGAATTTCGCGTACTATCAGAACACATAATTACTTTTGTAAGAATATTAATTTATAGAAATGATATATTAAGTCTAATTATCTTGTTTTTGTTACCTATGAGGAATATCTAATCCACCATCAACAGCATCTTTTAATGCACTAAAAACTTTAGCATCGGTTGTTCTACGTGTTAGAGCAACACCAAGATAACAACGAAATGGATGTTTTTCACCATCAACTGGTTCATTTTCAAATTCATCACCTGTAACATCCGTCGTACCTTTACATATACTATCAAGTTTATGTTTTTATAATATTCGTCGAGCTAAAAATAAACCGGTACAATAAGCAGCAGCATAATTGGTTAAACCAAGTTTAACATCATAACTTGGTAATTCATGTGCATATGCTGATGATACAATATAGTTGCCTTCAATACGTGCATAAGCAATCTAAATAATAACTACACAGATATATATATAAATAATTTATTCTATTTAATGTGCATCAGAATTTTGCAAAAAAAAGGTTTTCGACATCCTTTCATATTCAGAAGAGATGACAGAAATTATAAAAATCATCATATGCACTATGAAGCTTTTCTAATACTTACTTGACAAATAATATCTTTATTTGTTATTCCAACAATGAGACGATATTTTGGTGTATTATATTTATTTTTATCTTGATAAGTACATGACGAGCATAATAATCAATTTTACTCCCTAAAAAATTAAACATGAAAAAAAAAGTCAAAGAAGTCTATTGATACCAAAAAACTTACGTCGACGACGCTTTGATTCGACTTAATATCTTTTAAAATATGCTTTACTTTTAACAATTTTAACAAAAGCCTAAGAAAGAAAAGAAGAAGAAATGTTCACTATTGGAAAAATGGATAGGCGACTGCGGACAAATTTAAAAAGCAAAAGAAATAAAAAAACAAACAATCAATCGGTCGAAGATGATCCTCTAGGTTTAGCGGCCTCCGTGCAGACGATATATTCTTAACCAATCAAAATTATTCAAATGATTAATGCATTTCAATAGAAGAAGGTCAGCAGGTCGTGTTGGATTGGCTTAAAGAAATCAGCATTTTTTGAGAATCGTTCGTATTTTTCGTTTTGAGACTTTTACAATTGCGAGCATGTCGACGACAATATCAGGTAAATTAATAATGAATTGAATTTTGATTTTGATTTTGCTTTTTTTCTTTAATTTAGATGTCGAACGAACTAATAATTTAGAATGGCGTTTAAAACGTTTGGAAAATTTTATTGGAAAATCGGATAAATTAGATAAGAAACGAGTATGAAGGTTGTTTCATTGAGTTTAACATTGAAGAAAAACTTTTTTAGATCAATGAAACAATTAATGATCTTAATGAACATGTTTTTCGACATGCAAGCAATAATAATAATGCTAAAACATTATTAAATAAAGGTAAAATATTCCATTAAGAATACAAATTTTTGTCTTTCATGTAAATCTGTTATACTCAAGTTGTAATTAGAATATTGATATGTTGAGTATGCGAAAGAAATTGCGACTTTTTTTTCTGAAATTCATATATGAATATGTATTTGTAGAAAATATTAAATAAACTGATATGATTGAATGAACTGAATCGTAAATAACAGATTCTAGTACGCGTACGACAAACGTATTTTTATCTTTTCTTATTACATTTTTTTGACCTTCTTGATTTTTCTACAGTCATTATTCTCTATAAACTCTTGTATTCAATTGTAATATTTTAAAATCCATTACTTCTATTAAATTTCTCTTGTATTAATAAACATGAAGATTTCTCTAAGAACTTTAGCATCATTCTAATGGACAATGAAAATATTTTTCTTCTGCTTCTTATATATCACTCATTCACAAAATGAATGAGATCAGTAGAGTTTTAATGTGTTACTTGTTGCGAACTACAATGATAAGGTGCAGTATTTTATCCAACGAGAAGGCAACGTGTCTCTCAAGATTGACTTAGCTCTACCGAAGTTTTACATCGCTCCCCGAAAGAGAAATCTTAATTAATTTGTTCATGAAACTTTATTTTTTTTTCAAGTATAAAAATATGTTCTTTCTTATTCAATACTAAAACGAATCAAAAATTTAGATTTCATATCTTTTATCTACATAATATTAATAAAATCTTTATTTTTATATGTAGCTGATGAAATCAATCATTTAACAAGTTCGAAATTTCAACGACATTTATTAGCAGATAGAGCGACAAAATTAGAATTAATACTTGCTGGTAAATGGTTTTTTTTTTAAAATTTACAATAAAAATATTCATAAAAATTATTATTATTTAGATGAAGAACGTATACGTGAAATAACACAAACACTTTCCGAAATCGATACATTAGCACGTGTACTTGACGGAGAACATTTTCAAGGTATAGAAAAAAAACTTCTTTTTTTTTTTTTGATTTATTTGTAAACATATTTTCAATTCAATAGAAATACCAAAATTATCTACAGCTTTGAATAAATTATTGGTTACTCATAATGATATTAAAGTTTGAAAGATTAATGTACATATTCTTTTGATTCATAATTTATTTATAGAATCATCATAGTGAATTTACACAAGAATTAAGTAATTTTTTACAAAATTATGCAGCATTTGTAAGAAAGAGTTTCTTTGATTATTTTTTTGAATACTTTTGTCTTTTTTTTTTTTGTCTAGACTCTAATGATGGACGAAAATCTTCAACAATATAAACAAATCTTAAATAAAAATCAGAAAACATTATCAGAAATTCAAGATAATCCAATTGAATAGTGACATAGCTTTTTTTTTCTTATTTCAACAATAAAAAAAAGGATCATATTGATAATTTGGGTGTATAATGTTCTTTTATGGTTTTCGTTTTCTTTTCTTTTCTTTTTTTTTTTTTTTTTTATTTTTCAAGAACTTGTTTCCATTTATTTGTTTCATTTTTTACATCATTCCAAAATGTTTTATTATGATTGGTGATAAGATACATCATTAAAAAGGTTGGCGTTATAAATATTGCTTCAAATAGACGAAATGCCGGAGCAGCTTTTTGAAACTGATAATGTCCAATACCTTGAATAATAAGAGCAGTCAACATTATTAATAAACTATAGAATATAGATAATATTCCTTGAGCAGATAATATTTTAGCTGGACCAAATACCAAAGCAAATAGAATTAAAAATGCTAGACCACTTTTAATATCAATAATAAAAATAATTGTACAATAGATTATATAAAATAATAGAGATAGACGATAATCAATAGAATATGTTATAGAGAGTAAAGAAAATATCAGGAAAGGTAATGTAATAATATGTAGTAAACGATTAATTGGATGACAGTGATAGTAATTAACAAATCCAAATTCACTTTCTAATGAATTTCCCTTAAAAAATGGATAAAGAAGTTGTAAACCAATACGAGTCATACTTATAATTGTAAATGTTTAAATAAGTGACTGAGTACAAAAAATAAAAGAAAAATGTTGATTCATTTAACGTTTGTCTACGGTTGATAAGATTTTATCAGTGAAAATATTTTATAGAACAATGAAAATACGTTTTTCAAATATTTGTTTTAGATAATGAATAATAATGAAACTAACGCATCATCAACCAACCAATTCGGTTCTGTTTTGAATGCTCTTGTAAGTACCAATCAAAATTAATCAGCCCCTTGTTTTTTTGAATTTCGTGTATGTTTAGCATGGACTTACAACTGACAAATTCAATTTTGGACAATCAAATACTCAAACAACAACAACTTCGGAATCAGTTCCAATGGTAGCCGTACCCATTGATGATGTCGATGTTACAAAAACAATTGCCGATTTTAATACAACGAATACTTCAACAACAGTTAGTTCATAATTATTTAATTGTCATTTAATTATATATATCGATATAGATTCCTATCAATACTGGATCTGAACGATATGATTATTCACCAATACAACCATATTGGTTTTATGCGAAAAAAAGTCAAGGTCATGTTACATGGATACCATTTTCATTAACTGATGTACGACGACTTGATGAAGCTTATGCTCAGAGTAAGAAGAAAATCAAGTATTCTCTTAAATTGTTATAGGAAATAGAAGAATGATACAAATATCATTCATAAAAAACTTTTCTTAATCTAAGCGCTCGAACTCTTTTCAGACTATTCATAGTCCATTAGAGTCTACATGATGCACATCATTTCAAATCGAAAACGATTAATCAGCTGAGAAACTTTCCTCGTCCGTCAAGCCAATAGCTAACGAGGGACCTCTTCAGCTACCTCCTTCTGATTTCAATAATTATTTGCCTATAGATATTACAGTGTTCTAATAAAAAGCTATTGATGTTTGACTAAGCTATCTAATCCTTAATATGTTTATTTTCCAGAAGTCCCTGTTGGACTCCGAGTTTTCAGAAAATCTAACGCCTCTAGAAAATGGCTATATTAAAAATTCGATAGCTTAGCTAAATCTCGATAGGTTTTTATTAGAACACTATTTTAAGCTGTCCAACTATTCATACGATACACATTTAAACCACACAAACTTGAAGGGATTTACATTCAATTGTGTACAAATTAAAAACTAATAATATTAATTAACGAAAAATTCCCATTTTTTTTTTACTAAATTCCCTGTAGATCAAGTAACAATTGCTACAAATGGTAATTGTTATGATGTTAATCTTGTTGAACGTATTCGTACACCTGCCTATTGGACTGATGAACCAAATGAAATACGACGTTCAAAATGGTTTTATTTACCTGAACGTGATAGTCGATTTATTCCATATGATGAACAAATGAATGAAATACTTGAGGTAAAGAAGAAAAAAAAAACATACGTTTATGAAGTTTTGTTTTTTTTTGAATTAATCAAATTTTTCTTTTTTAATAGAATCTTTATAAAGAAACATGTCATCAACAATCTTGGCATACAAAACATGAAATGAAAAATGGAAAAGAAATTCTTATTTTTCATAGTCCTATCTTAATGACAATACAATCTACTGATAGTGAAATAACTCAATGGCCGAATTTTTCTGTATATATAAATTTAAAAAAAAAAAGAAACTAACATATACATTCATATAATTCATTTTAGTATGAAACACGAACATTAAAACGTGGTTTACCTGAAATGTTTTTCGATGAAGTTCGATTTGGTGATAAAGATCCTATTCAACATTTATGTTTTGTTGTACATGGTATTGGTGAAGCATGTGATGTTAAATTTCGATCATTAGTTGAATGTGTTGAAGATTTTCGTGAAACAAGTCGTACAATTTTACAAAGTCATTATAAATCTTATGTAGAAAATGGTGAAATTCATCGTGTAGTACGTATTTGTCATCATATTCGAAAATTTAGATAAATTGACGATGAATACTATTCTAAACATCAATTTCTTAGTATATTATTAGTGTCAAGTAGACTACACTGAAAGGCACTTCTTGCTTTTTATTGTTTTGAACTGTCGCGAAATTCTGTATTGTTCAATCAACGTTGTCTCTTTCATCTTTAAAATTTTATTTCTATATACTTCGTTCAATTCTTAATTCATAGTTAAAAGTACGTTGTCATTAATAAAGTCAATTTCTACGAATTGAGCTGTAATCATGAGAAAAAAGAGGTACGTATATGCAAAAGGAAAAAAAGCAAAACTTGAGTATTTCGACGTAAGTGAAGTACGGCATTTGTATTTCAAAGCACTCAAGTCTTGATTTTTTCCTTCTTGAATATATGACAATTTTGATAGTTACACCCAATAGTTTACTAAAACTGGTTAAGTTTTATAAATAAAAGAAACAACAAAATAGACCAATTTCAATAGAATTTCATGATAATTCTAAAAAACTTGATTCAAAGCAATGCAAGTGTTAGAAGATATGAACGAAAAGATAATGAGTGAGGGTAATATCTATTTAATATCTTCTATATTATTTTGGTTGTTAATAAATTTTCTAACAAGTAGCATGGGAGAATAAGCGAGTAACTGTTAGAAGAGTAAGTGCCATGAGTTTATCGCTATTTCATTCACTTATATACAGAGTTTGTCTTGTGCAGGAATCAGAGATCATGGTAAATTTCAATTTCTACATACTATTATTCAATGAATGATACAAGCTAAAGAATAGTGCTGCAACAACGATGCAGATTAAATGTCGATGATGTACACCTAAAATTTATTTTTACACATTCATTTGAAGGGATGCAACTCCTTGTTTCCTGCTGGAAAATTCATTTTACTCTGAAAAGTATGGGGAAATAAAGTGTATATATGTTTACGTTTAGTTTGAGTTGAGTCACGTCATTCATCTTATTACTCGTAACTATTAACATATGCTTCATTGATTAACTTGAATATTAAAATTATGCAAGTGAAAAAGATAAAATTGATATAAGCGTGTAGGTGTGACTCTTGTCTTCATGCACACATAAGCTCCACTTTCACGGCTACATTCCTTCCTAACTCAAGCAATGTCGAGGATATAAAATAAATTTTATATTACAATCAATATTCTACACTTATTTTTCAAAATATTGAATTAGATTTCCGTGAAATTTTTCTCATATTTATTCCAGTTGATTTTTTTGAAAATAAAAACTTACTATCTCATGAGAAATTATTTAATAGATTTTACAATATCCTGATTTTTCCTACAAAATTGTCCCACTTGTTTTTCTAATTTCAACACCAAGGACACTTCGACTTCTATTACTAGTTTTATACATAATTCTACGAGTACATTTATTCGTATAAAAAAAAAATGAGACAAAATTTCGGATCCATTCGTTAGTAAACATAATACAACAGATAATCTATCTGTATTATTGAGATAATATGAAGTTATGGTGTTTTTTTTAATTAACAGGAATTTTTACCAGTTCATTGGCATGGTGATCTTCACATGGATGTATGTATTACAAATAATTTTCTAAAAGAAAAATAATTAGATTTTTATTCTTTCTAGGCTTCTGGTATTGATAATCATTTATTAACATTAACATTACCAAGTGTAATAAAATTTCGAACATTTATTAATACAACTTTGTCGGATATATTATTTTATACAAGTCCTGTTTATTGTCAAGTATGAAAATAAGTTTTTTTTTTTTTTTGTTTACACGATATTGTTTTCTTTTATAGAAAATAATCTCACGTTGTATAAATGAAATGAATCGTTTGTATAATATATTTTTACAACGTAATCCATCATTTAATGGACAAGTATCTGTGATTGGACATAGTCTTGGTAAAATAGAAAAGAAAGAATTGTATTAATTTTTTTTTTTTTAAATATTTTTTTATTCAATTTTAGGATCAGTTATACTTTATGATATTTTAGCTAATCAAACGGGTGTAAATGAAGATGAAGTTTTAAGCAATAATCAAGCAGGTAGATTAAATCTAAATCTAAATAACAAATAATTTCAATTCTTTTCTTTTAACAAATAAAAATTTAATAGAAAATAGGTAGATAAAATAAAATATAAAGTTTTTTTTTCTTTATAAATAATATTATTATTTTTTTTTTTAAATAAATAATATTAGAACAAATTTATGTATATCGGGTACGGGTCAAGTATCGATTCAATATGAAAAACTTAAATTTCCGGTTGCATATTTTTTTGCATTAGGTAAATTTTCTTTTCGAAAAAATTTTTTTTTTTTTTTGTCCTTAATTTTGTTCTTGTAAGGTTCACCTATTGCAATATTTTTAACTGCACGAGGTATAACATCATTAGCATCTGATTATACATTTCCAACATGTAAAGGTTTATTAAATATATTTCATCCTGTATGTATTTATAATAAATAAAAAATTTTTATCATTTATAATATTTAATTTTTATTGAATAGTATGATCCAGTAGCATATAGACTTGAACCATTAATTGATCGTAAATGGACTGTATCACCAGTACTATTACCACATCATAAAGGAAGAAAAAGACTTCATCTTGAATTAATTGATGGACTTTCAAAAGCAACAGATTTAAAACAAAAAATGCTTGATTCATTTAAAAATACAATGGTATCAATTACTGATTTTGTTACATCTTATACGTGAATATTTAAAACAAAAAAAAAAAAACAATTATAATTTTTGATTTGTATATTAAATATTCGATTTATAGAAGTCCTATGCAAGTAACTGCAACAACAACACCATTGACAGACACACAAGCAACAACTGGACCTATAGCTACGGAAACGGATCTCGAAATTGAACATGCTAATGATGATGAAGGTAAATAATAATGATAAACATTTTGAAATTTAGGAAAAAAAACCAAATAGGATATTAGAGGATGCATGACTAGAACAGTGTTTTATCCAGCATGAAGACGATCCTCCGCCGAAGATCAGCTTACGAGAGAGCCTCTTCAACTGACTCATTCGATTTCAATGATTTATTTTTACCTATAGATAATAAAAACCCTAAAAGAATTTGGCTTCCTATTAATGTTTGACTAAGTCATCATATTTTTTTTTCTAGAGGCCCTAGATTTTCACCAAACTCATATTTCAGAATTTGGATATGATACGAGTTTTTCGAAAATTTGACGTCTCTAGAAAAAAAAATTCGATAGCCTAGTTGAATCACAATAGGAATCCAAATCGTTTTAAGGTTTTTATTAGGACACTGTGTACTGTCTATAGACAAAAACAAAAATCATTGAAATCGGAAGAAGTCAGCTGAAGAAGTTTCCTTGTAAGCCTTTTCAAAGTTTTAAATCATTTCTTTTGTTTTTGACTGAATGAACTTTTGTAGTGTTTTTGACAAATCATGCATCTAATGATAGGAGAAAAGTAATTATGATCGGCGAATCAAAAAGATAAAGATGAATGAAATCTTAAATACATGATAAGCATTCTAGTGTAAAATCATACGAATATTTTAATTGTTTGACTTTGTGTCTTGAATTTATGTACATAAGCAAAATATATATATATTCACATTATTTTACTCATTTTCTTTTAATATTCAAAAAATATAATTGAAGATTAGCATGTCTAGTAAATATTATCAGTTGAACATGTATGTGAATGTGTTGATCCTGTTTTATTGATGAGTTTACAAATGATTTATTCTATAATAATGTTAAAGAAATGTCAGATTATTGCTCTTATTTTTTTTTTTTCGTTTCTTGAAAATGTCACAATATATTCAAAAATCGATAGATTTGTGTTGGAATATAATTGTTAGTGCTTCTGCTAGTAATGATTTTTATTAAATCATAAATACTCAATCATAATAAAAATGCTTATGAAATATTCTAGAAACTCATATTTATGAATGGGATAATCGTCCGATTGGAAAATTAAATCAAGGTCGACGTATTGATTACGTTCTTCAACATCGTCCAATTGAAGTTCTTAATGATTATTTATTTGCTTTTGCAAGTCATGTTTCATATTGGTAAGACAAATGAAATAAAGCAAAAAAAATTTTATTTATAATATGTATTTATTTTAATTTAATATCTATTAGGGATTCCGAAGATACAATGTTATTAATAATGAAAGAAGTACTTAAATTAGATAATTTTGAACCCGAACCACAATATGAAACTATTGAACAAATGATTAAATCAAATGTATTAAATTATTTTGTAAAAAATCAAACAACAAAAGTGAATGAATTACTTCCATATTTAGCTAAATCTGAACAACGTTCAAGATTAGTAACAGATTCAACCAATGTCCTACCATGAATGACATAACATGATTTTTCTGGTGTTTTTGTTTTTGTTGTACTTAATGTATTTAGTTATTCATGAACGTTTTTTTTTTGTTTTGTTCTTTCGTTTTATCTGTGTTTTCATCATATATATAATAAATTAAGATAATTTCGCAATTTATTTTATTCTAGATGTGTGATGTTTTTCATAAGAAACAGTAATTATTATTTGTTAAGTGTTGTAATTAAAAAAAATTATATTTATCCATTTATTCGATGTTTGTCATCGAATACAACTAATAAGTAAGAATCGATATTTTAAGAATTCGAAAATTCTCATATTTTATAAAAAAAAAAAAAAAAAAGTCCAAAAAAAAGAATAGAGCATCAAAGTATCACACTTGAACTTTAGCATTTAATCAATATTATTATCGCTAGAGAAATATATAATGTGATTTGAATATTAAAGACGAAGGCACTTTTATTATTTCCTCTTTAACATTAAAAACATATAAGAATGTATTTTTATGAGTAGCTTTTCCTTTGTCAAAACTCATAGGACAGTTCTGTGTAAAGAATAATAAAGGCATTTACACTAGATGACTGATGGTGCAAGTATAATCATTTTTCGATAATGAATAGCATGCAAAAAAAAAAAAGATTAATTCAATCTATTGACTCAAGAGAAAAGGCATCGAAAGAAAAAGAGATTATCTTGTTGTTTCTATTGGTTATATTCCTTGAAGAAAGCTTATTCTAGATTAATAACTTAAAATTCTATTCAAATCTTATACTTTAAATTATGAATTTAATTAGATGATCCTATTAAATAAATTTTATTTTAATATCTTTCTTATGTTTACAATTATATGTAACAAAAAAAAATAAGTTATTTTTATTCTCTAGAAGCTATGATCATTTTTATGATTAATAGAAAAAACAAAACCTATTTCATATAAATAATAATCATTGTCTTATGCTTGTTTCTTTGTTCTAGGCTACATGAAGTTGGTCTCTTTACAGCTATTAAACATGAAGGCAATTATGAGACAGGTCAGGTATGTCATTCAATGATGGATAAATGTCAAAATCCTATTAGAGCATGTTGATAAGTATATAATAGATGCATTTGTCATCAGTTACTGTTTTTTTTTCTTGTCATATTCATTCTGTACAACAAAAAAAAGCTGTATACAAGAAACTCTATGTTCTATATCACAGAATCTAGTCTATACTGTGATACTAATAATAATAATAATAATAATAAAAAAGACAAAAATATAACTAAACAAAGAAAAAAAAATAACGCTATGAATATAAACAACATACACTATGTTTTGATGTTCGATTATTTAATTGTACAAGACTATTTAAGGTTTTTGAGGCACTTTGTCCATATGATGTTGTTGCAGCAGTTTGTTCAAGTAATGCTTGACTTACTGCTTTAAAACAAAATTCAACATTTAAACCTGTTTTAGCTGATGTTTCAACATATGGTACATCATATTCTTTAGCTAATTTTTCACCCATTTCACGTGTTACAACACGTTCATTTGTTTTATCAACTTTATTGGCTATTAACATAATAATAACATCTGATTGTGCAAATTCTTTAATTTCACCTAACCAATCACGAACATGATTAAAACTTATTATTGATGATACATCATAGAGAAGTAATAGAGCATTTGCATCACGATAATATGAATGGGCTACGGAACGAAAACGTTCTTGACCAGCCTAGAATTTATAGAAAAAAAATTTTTTTTTTAATGCATAGAAATATAAACTTGTTAATGCGATTTAAGATTTATAAATAAATCTATTGTTTACGTTCAATGTGATTAGGACATATTTTTCTATAGTTAAATAAAAAAAAAATCTCGAACGTTTAAAGTCATTATACTTTCATAATTCTCTCTTAATTGATGTAAGCGTACTATAGAAAAATTAAAAGTTTAAACAATGTTTTCTTTCGTTTCTAATCATTTCTTAATTTGTTTTTTTTTTATATTTGACCGAGTATACAAGTATAAATTTTAAGTGTGTAAGAAAAAAAAAAAAGCCAAAGGAAATGAGCTTCCTTTTCCGTCATCAATTTTTTCAGCTTGATTAGTTCTGATGTACTCGTATAAACAAATTATTTCTGCTTTTCTTTTTCTTTTGAATTATATAGTTATTTTTGAAAATTTTACATCGAACCAATTATTTATTCAAAATTTAATATATTTGATTTGATTTTCTCGGACAAATTCTGAAGTGTTATTTTAATCAAAAAAAGAAAAAGAAAAACTCATCTTAAGTTTCATGATAGAATAATAAGAAAAGAAAAACTCAAGATTTATTTGATCATGATTAATAAAAATAAGATGATACACAAAATAATTTCTTAGAAAGCTCTCAAAACATTTCCGAGAATGTTTGCCGTATTATTTGCTCTTATCTATTATCAGTTAAAAAAAAAAGAATGAGAATAAAAAAAAATCATATTTTCTCATTTCCGTTCTTCATTTGAATAAAGAAAAATAAATATACATAGATCATTGTTAGATTTTTCTTTTTGTTGTCTCTTGTCATTTTTTCAACTCATGAATTTAATAAATTATTATCGATTTTTTTTTGTCTTTTGTCTGTATACATACTGTATCATAAATTTGTAATTTCACTTGTTTATTATTGATCACAATAGTTTTGTTACGAAAATCAATACCAACAGTTGCAATAAAACTACCAGATAAAAATGTATCATCTTTAAAACGTACTAATAAACATGTTTTGCCAACACCACTATCGCCCAATAACATTATCTAATTGAAATAAATAATATTAATTTCTATGCTATTGTATCTTCTAATTTTATTTCTTTAGTTTGTCAATTGATAATAATAAGATTTTATTACATATCTATGTATCTATATATATATATATATATTTACCTTAAATGTACTTTGTTGAGCATAAGTACATACATTATGTTGACTATTGTTCGTTGTTGCAGTTGGACGGTTCATATCTGAACTTTAATCTGTTTTCTCTTATCAATCTAAAGATATATATAGAAATTTGATCTAGTTATCTACTCGCTAATGAAATGCATTTATATGTGTAACTAATAAGAAAAAGGAAGTAAGCACATGATTTTGTTCTCTCGTGACATGACCATGTTTTTCTTTCGACAACTTTAATTGTATTTTTGTTTTCTTCTTTTCGTTCTGCTTTTTTTACTTTCATTCTACCTGTTAAAAGTAATATTGCATGTATATATATATATATACCCCTTAACTATGAAAACGCACAGACAATCGTTTGTTGAAGTATTTCTTCTCAATAGGTTTTCTTTTTCTGACGTCAAATGTCATGCCATTAAATCTTCTCTATTTCTCTTCCGCATACAAAAAAAAATGAAGAAGAACAAGGAAACAATAAGAATGTCAATGAGCTAGATTCACATTTTACTCAGAAATGACAAATTGCAATAGATCTTTCTTGTTTTTCTTTTCACTTGTCATCACTCCATTCTATGATTATTCTTATAATAACTCAAATGATAGTTGTTTCTCTATATACATTATAGACATGACAAATATAAAATGATATCAAAAATTCAGAATCTCTCTTACTTTACTCATATCTTTTTTATATGTATGCCTTCAGATGAGCAAATGCAAGAGAGACATGCTAGGAAATGGACAACAATAGATGAAGCATAAAAACAACATTTTTGTAACGGGCACAAGCAAATGGTTAAAAATAAAAAGACGAAGAAGAAGGCGATAAAGAAGAAAAAAAAGCAAAAGAAATAAGAGGAAATAATCGTTTTTCCAGATCTATTATATTTCTACTCTTCTCAAATAAAACAGCTTATTTTTTTCTTTTGTTGGAACACTGATACCTCCTCCTAGTGTTTAACTATTTATCTCAAATAATGTTAGTTCAATGTTAATTTTCAATCACTAAAAATGATTCAATTGTAAATGTAATATCAAATAATGATTTTTTACGAAATCTAAGACGACATCTTACCTCTTATGCTATAAAATAAACGATAATATATAATGTCAGTTGTCAGTTCTCGTCAATTCTATACACATATATGTGATGCATTCATAGCACATAATTGAGCGATTCAAATATATATATATATATATTTATATTGTGGAGAGAGAAAAAGAAAACAAAAAAAAAAAAAAAGCGTAGCCCAGTGGAATGTTGAACAGATGAACAACGCACAAAAAAAGAGATGAAGATGGATGTCGAGTCAAAGTGAACGAAGAGCAAGGAACAGACGGGAGGGATGAGGAATGAAAAACGGAGACTTCCTGTCGACAAGCTTTGCTGATGGTTTTTTCCTTCTTTTTTTTTCTACCGCCACTACTACCGTTGCTATTCTACTATGCTAAATGCATTCTGACAAATCGAATGATTCTCTATCTCTATCTCTATCTCTATCTCTATCTCTCTTTCTGTTTTCTCTTTGTGTCTTGAGTAGCCCTTCACACATACATACATACATATATATATATATATTCGCAGAGCAATTATCTTTTTGAGCCTATTCATTCATTGTTAAAATCCTTTACTAAATGCTTATGTCGACTTCTAAGTTGCTTGCAAGAAGAGTGCAAAGCTAATTCGATTGTTATTTCCTAAAGACGTCCATCGACGATTTCCCATCGGCTCATACTAATAAATAAATAAATAAATATATATTTATATATATATATTTATATACGAAGGAAAAAGAAAAGAAAGAAAAGAAAAGCCTATTAAAGTATTTTATTGCTAATAATAAATTGAAAAGAAACTATTTCTTTTTTATTATTATCCATAAATATGCTAAGACAGTCAAACAATAACGATGATAAATGAAAAATTTTATCAAACTAACCCATGCATTAAGCGTCTATGATGAAAAGATGAACTCGTGCGTGTTTATTTATTTATGATTATTTTTTGGGTTTTCTTTTCTTTTTATTTCTTTTTTATGCTCTAGTTATTTCTTCATCGAATATTTGGTTATCGAGGAGTGATTTTATTTTCTTGGCTTGCACGAGTATTTGATCGATCTGATGAACGTTCAAATTTATCATCACCATTTACAACATCATCATCATCACAATCACAATCACAATCACATATACATGAAATTCGTGCACAACCAGCTACTTATTATCAAGTTTTAATTGATACACGTGATATACCGTTTATTCGGACTCAAACAGGTTTTTTTTTCTCATATAAATATATTAGAAATAAATAATAATCTGTATATTTTAGAAGCTGTAACATTTTTCGGTAATCAAGGACGAGATCGAAATCTTTATGCTATTCCTGGTCTTGATTATGTTGCACATGATGATGTTATGCCATATACAGTAAATATCACCTAAAAAAAAAAGAGTTCAGATCTTTAGCTTATTCTTACCGAGATACTTCATTTTTATGGTATTTTTTTTTTACTTAATGCCGTGGTCCTCCTTAGGAACACTAGAAAAATTGATTTTTGAATTTTAATTGGAAACTGTGTCTAAAGATGGATCATAAGAAGAATATTTTATTGTGAAAATTTCAGATATTTTCATTTTTCCGATCCTAACATATGGCAATCGTAACGGCGTGTTTTTTTACATCAGAAGATTGGATCTTCTTATTTCAAGATAGAAGCTAATCAAAAGATCTGAAACTTTTATAATAAACTATTCTCGTTAAGACCTATTCTGTGCAAAGTTCATAGTCGAAATTCAAAAAAATCATTGTTTCTTGTAGTCCTGAGGGAAACTACAGCATTGAGTTATAAAATATCGTAAAAATACACTATCGCTAAAGCAATAAGTTTAGAATCCAAACTTTTTTCAGAATATTCATTCATAGCTCATTTGAGTTGATATGATGCCCATAGTTCTGACTAAAAATCAACTAATCAGTTATAGGAAACTTTCCTCGTAAGATATATATGTATTATAAGAATTCTTTGGTTTTTTAGAGTACAGAACGAACACCAATTGAACATGAATTGTTTGATAAATTTTTCATACATGATTCTGAAGCAAGTAAGTATCAATAAATAAATTTTTCATTGTTTTATTCTATTATTAAAGATATTCAAGTTCCAAATTTTGTACCAAGTGAACATTTAAAATCTTGGCAAATACGACATCATCTTTGGCTTGAATTATCTGATGTATCAAAAGATATTACACATCATATTCGAGTGACTGTTATACCATTTTATATGTATAATAAAATTAATCTTTGTTTTTTTTTTCTTCTTGTTTCTTTTCTATTAATGAAATTTCTTTTTTTGAATTAGAGGTTCTCGTTTAACACAAGATATAAATTTGCATTGGTGGCGTTATTCAATTCGTATTGAAAATTTAAATCCTGATGAACCTGTAACATTACGTGAACGTCATTGGCGTATATTTAGTTTATCTGGTACATTAGAAACTGTACGTGGTAAAGGTGTTGTTGGACAAGAACCAAGATTATCGAAAGAATATCCTGCTTTTCAATATTCATCACATGTTTCATTAACAGCAAAAAATGGTCATATGTGGGGGTAAGAAAATTTTATCAAAAAAAAAAAAAACAAAATTTTTTTAAGTGAAATTTAAGTGTTTTTTCTCCATTTAGAACTTTCAAAATGGAAAAAGATGATGGAACATTTATTGAAGTACGAATACCAGCTTTTAATTTAGAATGTAAATTATACTCAACTACCGGTGGAAGCTCATTGGTGTAAAAATATTTTCTATTTTTGTTTATTATTATTTGTACAAGAAAAATTGTGAAAATAACATTTTTTTTTTTCTTTTTTTTTGTATGAAATGAATTTCTAATATAAGCATCATTACTCCAGCTTTTCATAGAAATAATTCACTATTTGATTTTATGCAATTATTTTGTTGCAAAATTAACTTATATATTGATAATTTCATATAAGTTTTCATCAAGATATATTCATCAAACAAAAGGATTCCTTTTTAGATCTGTATTTAAAACAAATGTTTTGTATTGCTGCTTATTGATCAGTGCCATGAAATTTTTTATTGCTTATATGGAAAAATCTAAATATTTTTATTTCCAAAAGAATAATAAGAACAGGATATTAAGAATTACCCTTGGCAAAGTAATTTATGTTTTGTAACATTTCAAACGAGAAAAATCATAACATTTTACAGTAGTTACAATACAAAGAACTCTTATTAATGTATGATTTTATTTTTGTTAAATAATCCTGTTGATATTTTTTATATATAAATTCATTATTATATAGATTCGAAAAAATTGTCTCTAATAAGACGATAAGTTTATTGATGTACAAAAAAAAATTAGTGTTTTTTTGTTTTGAAATAAATTTATTAAATTATATTAAAAGAATGATAATTTTTTAGGATGATCTTTTATAATAAAATATAGTCAATACTAAGAAAAAAGTCTATTCAATTATTAGACGTTGTTCGATTGAATATTTTAGTTATAAAATAACTTTCTTTGCGGCTAAAAAAATAAGGAAAGAATTTCTTTCGTACAATCATATCAACTATTGTTACTGTTCATAGAGTAGTATGGCTCTAGTTCCATGACAGTGACGAAGTTAGAGTAGGACACTGGGGACAATTGGCCTTTCCTTCTAACATATTTTTCGATTTTTCTTATCAGAAAACGCCCAAAAATGAGTTGACACGATCTTTAATGAACTTCAAAATACGTTTTGTGACCATGATTGCCCTCTATCACTACTCCATGAATAATCGATATGTCATCTTTCCTTACGTGTAGACAGACACAAGTATTTACAGTAGTCTTTGCCTTATCGGAACCAAACAATCTTGGACAATTATACTTGTTGATAACGGAAAAACAAACAATATTACAGTAAAATTTTATTTAAACATAATTGTAGAAATTATAATGAAAACAAAAATGTCTTTAGAATACTAATGTTTTATAAAAAAAAAGGTTCATGTTCAATTGAATGTTCTCTTAGAAATATTCTTTTTGCATCGAT